TTATATAATAAGTATTTTTGTAATAATATAATATTGCTATTTTGTCTATCTCCTACTTGCTCAATTTCAAATTTCCCAAATGTGGGGGATTCCTGTGTGTTTTTGTCAACTAAAGTATCACAAGTACCTAGGCACGTAGTAGATGCCTCAATAAACACATTTGAGTAACGAAAAAACTCCCAACACAATATAATGAGGAAAACCCTACACTGCGTTATTTCTCTTTTTCAAATAAGGGAATGAAAGATTCGAGAATACAAACAAGTCACTAAGGATCATAGTACTTGCAATGGCGTAATCTAGGTTCTAGTCCCATCCTCTCTCCTTAGAGCTAACATTCCCTGTCACACCCAAAGGTGTTCATCCAAGGTATGTAAGAGGATACCAGCATGATGGTGTAGAAGATGGAGTGGAAATAAATTCATCTGCCAAGCTAAGCAGTTTGGATACTTTCCATAGCAAAAGCTCTGCACTGAATGGTGACATAATTAAACATATCTTAGAAAGGAAATTCAAACAGCTGCCAACTGGAGCAGTGAAACCAACAAATTGTCAGTAGAGAGAAGCTCCACACTTAATGGGGTTTAATGCAGCTCCAAGAGTCCCATAGCTAAAAATGGCTGGCTTCCTTCTCATTCATCAGTAAGTGGTTCATTCACCCCAATCCTCTCTTAGAAAAAGTCTGACACAGCATGGATAGTTTTGGAAGTACACTTTATTCATATTCATTACACAGTGATTAAACAAGTGAGTTACTTTCCATTTGGGTGTAGTCACAGTTTTCAACAATCTTTGGAAGCACCAGGTGTGATATCTCCTGAGATGCTGTTTTCCTCAAGGGACAGGTCGTACCACTAGACACATTGAAGTGCTATCTGACACGCCTTGATAGCCCTGGCTCAAATGCAAACATGTTGTTTGCAACATTGCAGCTGTAAGTGTTCCTTGTATTGTCAAGTGAGATAAATGCACAGCCCATGGGGTCTGACTAGTGTCAGCTGCTAGACTGGCCCCTGAGATAAAGCCTTGTAATCACATAGTCTTGGTTAATTAATCAGAAAGAATAAAGGGTCAAGTGCAATAGTTACTAGATACAGAAATTATAAATAATACATATATTAATAGATATTAATTTTCATTACATAAAGTTGCTATTATAAATATTTCTCTGATTAATGAATCTAAAATATATTCTCCACATAAATAATGTTAAATATTAATAAATAGATTTAGAATTTTAAATTCAAATAGCGCTGGCAGGATGGTTCTTATTTGGACGATTTGCGGTCCCAAAACAGCATCGACTCCTTTTCCGCTTCCTTAGGATAGGTCTTGGTGACAGCTCATTCATCACTTTGATGAGTTCACTGACAGCTTTGCGTTGGACCTGCAGGTTATTTACCTAATTAATGGGAAAACAGCAACAACAAAGTTAACTTTAAGCATACAAGCTATTAGGACATTCTTCTTTTAACGTCATGGTCAGTGAAAATGGAAATATTCCTCTTAAGAAAAGTTATTCTGAGTAGCAATATATTCCCTTAATTTATAACGTTCACTTCTTTGTCAGTTAAGGCTAAGTCGTGCAATAGAGAACAGGATGCTGCACATCTTTACCTTGACTGCCACAGAAATCTCAAGATGAAATACTAAAAAGATCCCTGGGTGGGGTGAAAAGGTAGGAAGGATTGAGTATGCACTGACCCTGAACCAGAGACTTAACCTCTCTGAATCTGTTTTCCCGTGAAAAGATTAGTACCTGTCACCTACGAATTCTACCACTTAATGCTTTGATTAGTTTTTGCTATTCATATCAAATGAGTTCCTATAGGCTTTCCCTCTTAGTATAGCAGAATGTCCTGGAAATAAAACAAGGAACACCAAGACTCAGGTATATAAAGGAGAAGGCCCATGCCTTTATGAGATCACCAAGTTCCCCAAGAGATTCTGATACCAATCAACAGTTTGAGAATCACTGACACTGGCTAAGTACTGTGGAAAATACCGTGTCCATGATAAATGAAAACTATCACTTTGACCTTCTCCCAAATCATTTCCAGAATGGGATTAAAAATAAACACTAATCATGTTCACATTGATAATCAATTTGCTGACACAGAACATTTAAATTTGGAATTGTGGCAACTTTTCCCATTCCCTGCCTTCTGTGCCATTAAGTAAACTATTTGCATATCTTCATTCTAAAAAGAGGGCCTCTAGGCAATTTCATGCTTAATAAAATGAGAACCATTTACTTTTGTCTCTATTTCTTTCTAATACTGGGAACTGTGACTATTGTGCTGTATCTTCAAGAAGGATTAGGAGATTTATAGGATACAGGGCTAATTATTAAAGGATATACATGTCTAAAACATGTTCACAATGGAGTAAAATAGGACAAGGTTTAAGAATTCACTATAGATTGCCCATCTGAAGTAAGAGGCCTGGGGCTTCCAGAAGATGAAACCAAGAGACTGTAGAGAGGAATTGTTTTCCCTCTATGAATGGGAATGAATTTTATTTCCCAATATCCAAAACATTGCCAGGAATCCAAGAGATGTAGCCAGAGCTGAATAGCAAGCCAGGGGGAGAACTGGGTTAGGAACAAGTGCTTTAGCCATCTCTAGCTGATGGCCTAAGGAGAACTGCCGCCATCTTTCAGCTCCTGGGAGCTAGCATTAGTCAGTCTGGAGACAAAGTCAGGAAGACTGAAAGCTGAGCTCAAGTATTGAAGGCACAAAACACAAGACTCCTAGCCCTCTCATTCAAGCCCATTTATCACAAAGCCTGAGGATTCTAGAGGCCTTTGCCTTATAGATAAAATTTTTAAAAATTAAAAAAAAAACAGATTTGTCTTTATGTTTAATTTTAAACTGAGGACAGTTAGAGTATATGAACATTGGCACCTAAGGATTTCTCTAGATGAGATACTCTAGCATCTGAAAGTCAATTGAACAATCCTAACACTACCTTCTTCTCCCCCTAAGAATAAGATGGGCTACACAATGTGAGGTACTGACCAGAGACTAGGAGTCGGATGCCCATGTACCTCTCCAGGGGCTCTGCTTTCTCCTCTCTCCTCCTCATTTTCTACCCTGTGACACTTGAGTTTTTTAGACCAAAGGAGATCAGGGAACTTAAGCAGTGAGTCCAAACCGGTTCCTTTCAAGGTGAGGAAACTGCGACACTTGTGATTCATCTGAAGTCACAGTTCCTTGTGGCCAGGCTGGGAGGAGAACACAGGTCTTCTCACCCCCTCCCACTGCTCTTTCCACTAAGACATAGCCTCCCATCCAAAGCAAGAGAGTTTCCATCACACAGGCAGGGCTCGTGGGAGCACTACTCAGTGCTCCCCTCTACTGCTTCACCTGCCTCCTCCTCATCGCATTTACCCATCACGTGTGCAGTAGTTTTAAATACCTGTGGTTTTTGTTTTTGTTTTGGTTTTTGTTTTCAAATGGCACAGTCCAGTGAATCTCATAGTGAGTTGCCTATGTCAGTTGGTAAGGAAGCATCTCAGACAGGGATTCATCTCAGAGCTTCAGCAACTCTTTAGTAGCTAATTCCTCCTTTTTTTTTTTTTTTTGAGAATTCAGTGCTTTACAAAAAGTCTCTGCAATGAAACCAAAGAAAGAAATGCCAGAGCCTCACCGGAATCTGAGTCAGCTTTATGAAGTCGTTTCGTTTGTCAATGCTGCTGTTGAAGAATTTAATAAACAGGGTTTCCTTGACAGTGGCCAAGCTCGTCTGGATCATCCTGTTGTCTTTCAAGGTGTCTAAGAGTTTGAAGTAGAAGGAGACGATCTGGCTATGGATGATTTTTTTGTCACTCTCCTTGGGAGACAAGAACACAGAGGCCAATGGGAATTTATCCATGAAGAAACACGCAACAGGAAAAAATAGGCAAATGGGAATATTCAGCTTACCTCATTCCATTTTCTCAAAACATCTAAGAAGAGGGGCTCTCCATCTGCGACATCTGGGCTGCTTGCATTCTGAGATGAGAAGGAAAGATTGATTTTTAGTTAGTCCATCAATTGCTATATATATATATATATATATGAGATATATGATATATATATCATATATATCAAGTTTCATTGAATTCAGATGCTGACAATAGTCACTAATTTCCTTCTCAGCTCTTCCATTTACTTCAGTAAGTATTCCTAAAAGATTTCATGTTAGATTTAGCCAAAGACTATTATGTCTTTTAGCTTTCATATTTACTAGAATAATCCTGAATTGCAATGTCACAAATAAACTCAACAAAGCTGATGAGCTTTCAAGTGCCCCGAATAGCTCTAGTGAGCTAAAGAGAGTTATTTTCAAACTAATATGCTGCCCCCTTATGGTTGCAGGCTTCTGTAACATCTGCCTGTACCCTCCTATAAGGTCAGCTTTAAAAATAGTTCCAAATACATGTGTGAGAGAGTTTGATTTGCATTGTGAGAATAAATTTGACTATGAATGCTTTAACATTATTATTAATATTATTATTATTGATCTTTTTGAGACAGGGTCTCACTATAGCCCCAGCTGGCCTGGAATTCACTATGTAGACCAGGCTGGCCTTGAACTCACAGAGATCTGCCTGCCTCTGCCTCCCAAGTGCCAGGATTAAAGCATGCACCACCACACCAGCAACTGAACATTATTATAATCACTATAAATATAATAGTATATATTTTGGACAGATAATATTTTTAAATAAACAAAACTATCATCTTCATTAGACTATAATAAAATTAAAAAAGGAATCCATAAAAGAAAGCACTTTAAAACTCTAAGTCAGAACCATAACTCTCCCAAAATCTCAGAGACTGTCTAACTTCAAAAATAAGTCACTGGTAGAATTTTGAAATCACTTTTTGGAGAAAAACACCCGTGACTTTTTTTAAGCCAAAACTTTAAGAACTTTACCTCCTGTGACTTTAACTAATACATTCTCTCCTTTCACTGTTTTTAATGCTGACCTTCACCTTTTACTGTCGCTTTCACAGTAGTCTGAGGAATGAGAAACTAAAACCAATCGTTTGGAAGAACACTTTTCATGACTGAATGGTTTCCACCACAAAATGCTCAGAGCCACTGTTATATATTCAAAGTATGCCCATATTTTGGGAGATTCTTAACTGCCCTCTATGTCTCTACAGCAAATAGAACAGAGGGTTAACTCAATCTCAAGACTATTAAGTGAAGAAACATCTTGCTGACAACTAGCAAAATAGCACCACGTCTTCTCAAAATGACTGTGGACTAGAGATGTCAGCCTCGCATAGACAACTCCAAGTCAACATCCGTCGTTTGCACCCACAAACAAATATCACTAAAAAGTCATACTTACAAAATACTCCTTTAGATTTTCTACTTCTTCAAAGAAGTTGGTCTGGCAGTGACAGCTAGAAATACCCAACATGAAGCAGAGCTGGAGAGTGAAGATGTAACTTGCAGCATTCATTGTCTCAGAGAACTAGGCCGAAGGAGTTGAAATCAGGACCTCCTGTATTAATCACCCGGGTCCAAAAGACTCAGCTGATCTCTTTTCTAATAGCTGATCTGCCGAGGATCGGAACAACATACTGCACCTCCTTTGGCTTCTGGTATTTATACCTAATCGAAGCCTCCTCAGGATTACGTATTTTCACAAGTTTTTTAAGATGAGATGGTGACAGATAGGCGGGGAAACTAGTTAGCTTGTATTAATAACTATGGTTTTGTGGCATTTGGTGTTGTAGTTAGAGTTTCCTTTCAACTCCCTGGGCTCTTTGGCGATGAGACAGACCCATTGTGCCCACCTGTGCCATTCTTGTGGGAGCCTATGAAAGCACTTTTACTTCACACCATTTGGGGGCTGGCAAAAAAATTTTTTGGCATCTCCCCTTTTACCCTCATAAAATGCTAGATCCTCATCCACAGAGAACATTTGTTTGTGGTTGGGAACAACTGAAAAAGGAAATTCTAGGGCTTCTCAAACCCTTACAAAGGGGAAGCCTTTTAAAAGTTTTCTTGCAAATGACCAGAAAGCAAGGAAAGACTATGGTTGAGAAACCAATGTGGTGAGCAAATCCTTCATCAGGGTCGATTAGTAAAATATCTATCACAAGTTTCAAATAGTTCTACAGCAAACTTCCCCAGAGAAACAAAATAGAAACCACACAGGTAAAATTAAATTATCTACTGGCCTCATTAATAAGAGTTTTAAAAGGTAAGAATAACTAATTAAATGTTATATTTAAGCCAACATGTCTAAGATAACATTTCAAAATGTATATATTATGGATAAAAATCTGGTATACACCTCACCTGCACAGCATAGCTCAATTCGGACTATCCATATTTCAAATGCCAGTAGCCATATGTGGCTACCCCATTGAACAATGTAGACCCAAACATGCAATTATTCCAAACCCTCATTAGTAATCAAGAAACATTTCAACTTTGTGTTTGTTCTCTTCTCAAATACACACAATAGAATTCCTCCTCCTTCTTTGGTCATTTATTTATGAGGTTTAACACTTCAGGATGGCACAGAAAGCCCTTACTTAGCTCTTGGTTCCAACCCACCTCTACTTGCTCAGCATAAAGCATATTGGTTCTATAAGAGCCAACTGGTACGGACTTCAATCCTGGATCCTTTACATTATAGCTATGGGATCTTGAGTAAGCATCTTAATGATTCTGCGAGTCAGTTTCCTCATTTGTAAAGTAAGCTTAATAATAGTATCTTCTTTCAGACTTCAGCTGAAAGTTCAATCGAATGATCCATATAAAGTTGTGAGAATTTTTCCTGGCATACAGCAATCACTCAATAAAAGTTATCTATTGTTATGTGGACATGTTGGATTGGTAGCTATTCCTTTTAAAAGCACACTCTGCATTTTGTTCATGCAGTTCCTTTGGCCTTGAGTTCACTTTCCCTCATCTGTGCTCCTCAGAGTGGTACCTAACCATCTTAGCCCAGCCTAAAAATCATCATCTCCATGAGTTATCCCCAAATTCTCCAACCTACAATCAATCTCACATCCTCTATACTGATCTAGCACCTTGTTTATATTTTTCTGGGAACCCCAATCCCTCAATTGCATATTAGAGTTAGTTACTCATGTTTTTTCCCATTTTGGAACCAGTTTCTTAAAATTAGAAAGTATTTCATTTCTTTCATGATATCCTTCATTTCCCTCAAACATTTTAGCATAGAAATTCACTCATTCACAGCACCAAATAAAATAGATTCAGTATGATGTCACATGCCTTTAATTCCAGCACTCAGGAAGAGGAGGTAGGAAGATCTCCATGAAATTGAGGACAGCCTAGTCTACAGAGCGAGTTCCAGGCCAGCTGGGGCTATAGGGAGACCCTATCAAAAAAAAAAGAAAAAAGAGGGATCTATTTTGAGGGCTGAGAATGTAGCCCAGTTGGCAGAGTGTTTGCATGGTGTGCACAAAGCTCTGGCAAACACAGACACAGCGGTGCACACACAAGTAGAATCAGGAAGGCGAGGGGTTCGAGGCCGTCTGCTACTGCTAGTACTTGGGGCCAACCTAAAATACATAAGAACCTGTCTCCAAAGAAAAATCCATTTTGAGTTACGTGCCCTCAAGTATTTTTCAGTTCCAATGCTATCCGTAGGAAATTAGTCCTTAGTCAAATGTAATTTATTATTAGTGCTAAAAAATGATGTTATGTCTTCTTAGCCAAAATCTAATGGCTGAGACAATTCCATGGTATTTTTTTAATTTTTCTTTTAAAAAAATGACCTTGGCAAAACCATCTTCCCAAAGAACAAACAAAATCAAAGCATAACTGTGAGGTCAGTCTGATGTGTGGCAAATGAAAAGTGTGGTATTACAATGTTGTACACAGAGCTGTCACTGTTCTCTCCAGCTAGCAATGTAGACCAGAGAAAATCCTTGAGAGAGACACAAAATAGGTCAAAACTTTATACAAGCCTTCAGACACACTGCCACCACTCAAGACCTTCTAGGAAACCAACAGCCAAACCCTGAGTCACTGGAAGCAACATTTGAAAATGTCTGGAAAGAAGTAAAAACTAATTCTATTTTCTATTTTGACCAGTGTAATACAGTGACGGGAGAAAGGAATTAAGACAGTTGAGGGGCTGGTAAGATGGCTCAGTAGATAAAGGTGTCTGCAGCCAAGACGGATGACCCATGTGAAAGAAAAGAGCTGACTCCAGGAAGTTGCCCTCTGATATTACACACACACACACACACACACACACACACACACACACACACAGAGGAGTTAATTAATTAATTAAGTAATTAAAACAAATTTTTAAAAGAAAAGTGGGATCCATCATAGGGGCCTTAATATGTACCCTCAGTATTTGTAAGTTACAAATGCCTACTCAAAATCAGATACAGTTGGGTGCAGTGGCTCACGTCTTTAATCCCACTACTTGAGAAGCAGAGGTAAGTGGATCTCTGTGAGTTGAAGGCCAGCCTGATCTACATAGTGAGTTCCAAGCCAGCTAGGGCTACAGGAAAAACAAAACCAGGGATCACTATTAAAGCCATATTTCCAACAGGACCAAATGTTTAGGGTCAGAAGCTACCTGGTAAAGCCAAGCTTGGTAACACTTGGTACCATGATGAAGCATGGAATTATAGAATTACAGAAATTGTCAATGGTCTGTCCCTTCTGATTTAAAGATTTTTACATCAAGACCCAAAAATCAAAATGATGTGTATAAATTTATCCAACTGGTTAATGCAGATCCAAATCTAAGGCCAAGATATTTTCCTTCATCAACCTACCCCCTAAGCTACCAATAGCTATTAAAAGGATTGCATGTGCTTCTAATTTATATGTCAGATATTCAAGTTGAAATAATTAAAACTCAGTAAAGGTTAGGTTTCTGGAATTCTTTTTCTGTAGAATTAGTAAGATGGTAGCTACACTTTAATTCCTTTCAAAATACTAAGACTAAGGGGAAAAACTTTGCAATTCTTAGCGAGCTCTTCTAACAGAATGAACTTCACAGGCATGCAGACTGCACAGTGTGCCAGGACTCTGAACTTGGAACAAGCCATACTGGATCTAATGCTCTATTGTCACCTTCTTGAAACGCCTAACAATTTTTTTACCAGGGCCTCATATTTCGTTTTGCTCTCGCTCCTGCAAACTGCATAACTGGCCTTGCATCCCACATTGGAGTGAATCATCCACTTAGGCTTTCATTTTTGAACCCAGGATTCTGTAATTTAAAACCTTGACACTACAATAGTATATCCTTTTCTGATCTTTTCCTGTCTTCTCAACTTTGCAAACAAAGAAATTTCTCTCTCTTTGCTGCCTGTAAAACACCTTGTGTTATACATGCAAACTAGAGGTTTCACACCTTATTGGTTCAGTCAATACTGAGCCTGCAGAGTAATTCACCACCACCTTATCCTTTAAAAAGTTTGCAAAGCCACCAGGAGTCAAAGTGTGACCATATTACTAAGCCAAAGGGACTGAAAACTTTCTTTTTTCTTTTCAGTTAAACTTTCTTTCTGAAAACTGGCTCTGGTTATCCTTTATGTGTCAGCAAGATTTCAACCCTATCTCATGCAATCCCCACTCTAAGATGAGTAGGAAGTCAGAAAGACAAAACTTACACCTTGGTTGCCCTTTTCCTCTGTGATCAGCAGTCACATCCCTAGCACTCACAGCCCAATTATCTCGTCCAGACCTTGATGCAGAGTTCTTCCACTTGGTATGAGTCAGTGTTGGATCCAGGGCCCCCACGCTATCTCGGCTCCGGGATCTTCTGACCTCATGCGGACTGAGCCTACGGAAGAAGCATGACGTACACGATGGAAGTCCACGCGGAGTCAGATTTTCCCCACGATTTGACTCACAAATCCCATAGGTCAGAGGAGAGTTTTCTGAAGTACCCATTTTTTTCACTGAGACGATCTGGGTACTTCTGAGGAATGGCTTAAAGAATATGGAAGGCACTACAATGATCCGTTTACAATATTTTCAATTTTATGTTAGATGAGATTGTGCATTGATGATCTAGAGATTGATGATCCTGATTTAAAGAACATGTTTTGGGGGGGGTTGTTTTGGTTTTTTGGACGGGGGAGTTGTCCCTTAGAAAATGTTAAAGCACTAACTGAGCAATGGACAGAGAGTAACCAAATAAAGATGGAAACATATTGTAAAATACTTGTTTATATCCTAATTTCAATCAATTGTGATGGCCTTATTGAGCACCTATTACATATCAGTAGTTTTAAGGGTTGCAGAGAACTTTACAATAAGGGACGTTGGCTGGAGCCTTGGCTACAGTTAATTTCTCAGCTCTAGTTACTATATTTTCTTTTACCACATGCCTATTCTTCCTTTGGGGTTCATAGAGGTAAGTGGATTCAATTTTTTTAACTTTCTTTTTTTTAATCTTATTGTACTTATTTGTGTGGAGGGGTGGAGGGGTGGGTGTGTGCT